CAAAACCCTCCATGACATTGAAGCTAATGGTATCTTCAAAGATGCCACGCCACTGGCCGAGCAAGTGAAAACAGAGATAGATAAATGGGACTATCTTAAACTAAGAAGCTTCTGCACCTCCAAAGAAACAGTGACCAAAATACAAAGACAGTCTACAGAATGGGAAAGGATATTCACCGAATACACATCTGACAAGGGGTTGATATCCAGGATATACAAAATACTGGTTAAACTCCACAAGAAGAAAACATCCAACCCCATCCAAAAATGGGGCAATGAAATGAACAGAAACTTTCTCAAAGAAGAAATCCGAATGGCAAAAAAGCACATGAGAAAATGCTCTACATCATTAATCATCAGGGAGATGCAGATCAAAACCACAATGAGATACCATCTCACACCTCAGAGACTGGCCCACATTCAAAAGAACAAAAGCAACCGATGCTGGCGTGGATGTGGCGAGAAAGGGACACTCCTTCACTGTTGGTGGGAATGTCCACTGGTTCAGCCCTTCTGGAAAACAGTATGGACGATTCTCAAAAAATTAGAAATTGAGCTCCCATTTGACCCAGCAATACCACTCCTGGGAATATATCCCAGAGAGGCAAAAATGTATAGTCGAAGTGACATCTGCACTTGTTTGTTCATTGCAGCCCTCTTTACAATAGCCAGAAACTGGAAGAAACCTGAATGCCCAAGAACAGATGACTGGTTAAAGAAACTTTGGTACATCTACACAATGGAGTACTATGTAGCTCTTAGAAAAGATGAAGTCATGAAATTTACATACAAGTGGTACAATATGGAAAGTATCATGCTAAGCGAAATGAGTCAGAAAGAGAGGGATAGACATAGAAAGATTGCATTCATCTGGGGGATATAAAGTAACAAAGTATGAGATTAATACCCAAGAATAGCTGAGATCAGCACCAGGAGGATTACTCCATAACTTAGAGGCCAGCCGGGTATCCTAGAGGAAAGGGCTATTCAGATAGAGAAGGGAGCACCAAATAAAGGATGTTTGGAGGATCCTCCCAGGAGGGGAGATGCATGTCGAAAGTAGACTATGGACTGAACATGTTTGCCACTCAATGCCTCTTTTGCAGACCACAACACCCAAAAGGAGAGAGAGAACACAGGGGATTGCCCTGCCACAGAGACGGGGGGATGGGGGGATGGGGGTGGGAGGGATATTATCCATGGTGGTGGAAAATGGGCACTGGTGGAGGGATGGGTATCTGATCATTGTATAATTGAAACCAAAGCACAAAAAATTGTAAATCTACAACTTTAAAAAAAATAAAATAAAATAAAGGTGAAAAAAAAAAAGACAAAAAAAAATTAATAAATGTCAACAGACCGATACCAAAAAAAAAAAAAAAAAAAAAAAAAAGCATCAAGGCTGTTTGGCGACCGTTTCCCAGACCAGGGTGAGAAACTTCTCCTCTTTGCCTCTCTCTCTCTCTCTCTCTCTCTCACTAATTTCATAAATAAAACTATTTTACTTATTTCTTTAAAAAATGTCAAAGGTCATCACACTTTTCATAAGTGTGTAGAAACTCTGGGATGTTTGTAGCATAGAAGCAGCCAAAGTAAAAATCTAAACAAATGGGACTGGCTGGTTTCATTCAAACTTATATAAACAGGAAGTGGGTTGGATTTGGCTCAGAGTCCTAAATTAGCTTACCCTGATTTAAAACAAGTGAGGCAATTTCACAAGTCACTCTCTAGGGGTGCATGAGGAGACCAGTGAATTGAGCAAGCAACATGGATAACACTTCATGGTCAGAAAAAACACTTGATAGTACCATGTAATATTCATCTGACATCTCATTTTTTTCTCTACAATGTTTACTTGCAAGTAGCAACTATTTCTTCCATCTTATAATAAAATATTATATGTAATATAAATGACTTGAGTGAAGAGTTTGTAGATGACAGACAATAGGCATATTGGGCGATAGTTGCCAATGTCATGGATGTCTCCCTTCTTGTATAGTAGTATAGTCTTGCTGGTTTTCCATTGGGAGGGAACCTTGCATTCAGACAGGTAGCGTGTGAAGAGCCGAGCCAGTGTATTGATGAGTACTGATGGTAAGTTCTTCAGGTGTTCAGGTCTGATCTTGTCTGGGCCAGGTGCTCTTTGTTTCTTTACCGACGATATGGCGTGTTGGATTTCGGAAGGGAGAACATTGGGAATGACATATCCGTCCTGCGGAATTTGGTATGTGGGCAAATGGACGTGGCTATTAAAGAGATCTGAGTAGAAGTCATGGATAATCTTCTCCATTGCCCTTCTGGAAGATATGATAGATCCATCAGGATGTCGGAGGGCAGTCATCTTGGTCTTGTAGTTGGTGAAGGAAAGGCAGGCAGTATGAATGCTTTTCCCGGCTTCTGCCGCATCTACTAGCACTGCTGCTCTCCTGTCTTTGAGATCATCCTTGATCGCTTCTCTGCATTGTTTTGTCAGCTCGGATGTTCGCTTGTGGTTGCCTGAGGCATGTACCAAGCCACGTTGGCGAATAAGTTCAAGAGTGTTTGAAGAAAGGCTTTTTTTGTGGTTATCTCTCTCTTGGCATTCCTTGCACAACCATGGAGGTGCTGAATCATTCGATCATATTCCTCATCAATGTTGTCAATGACGGCATCTTCCCATGATGTTGCAACAGAGCCAAAGAGATTGGCACAACACTAGATAAAGGACAACCATGTGAACAAACTGGGTTCCGAAAAGGATTCAGCACCATCGACCATATCCACACGATAACTAAGCTCATTGAGGTTTCTCAGGAGTTCAAGATGCCGCTCTGTCTAACGTTCATTGATTTAAAGAAGGCCTTTGATTCTGTTGAGATGGAAGCGGTCATAGAAGCCCTAGCCAATCAGAGCATACAAACTCAATACATCAGGATCCTCCATGAGCTGTATTACGGATTCACTACCAGGATCTCACCATTCTACAAAGAAGTAATCATCCATGTCAAGAGAGGGGTTCGGCAGGGTGATACCATTTCACAAAAATTCTTCAGTGTCACCCTCGAGAACATCATGCGATGACTGGAATGGGAAGGAATGGGAGCGAAGATAGATGGTCGGCAACTACACCACCTCCGCTTTGCTGATGACATTGTTCTAATAACACCAAACATCAACCAAGCGGCACAAATGCTGACCAACTTCAACCATGGGGGTGGAAAGATCGGATTACAACTGAATCTCACAAAGACAATGTTCATGAGAAACAGTCTTGTTCCTGATGTTCCATTCACTCTCAATGGAACCATCATCTCCGAATGCAACAGTTATATATACCTAGGTCGAGAAATCAACATGATGAATGACCTGGCACCTGAGTTATGCAGGAGGAAGAGAGTGGCTTGGAATGCCTTCAAGAGCGTTGAAGAAATAACTAAGAGGACAAAGAACCTCCAGCTCTGAGCACATCTCTTTGATTCCACTGATCTTCCTGCATTAACATATGCCTCAGAGACCTGGGCCCTACGAAAACAGGATGAGAACGCTATATGGGTCTCTCAAAGAGGAATCAAAAGAGCTATGCTTGGAGTATCACGCTTCACTTAAATGAGAGACAGAATCCAGAGTTCCAATCTCCATCAACGCTCAAGAATCAGGGACGCTGTCTCATTTTCCAAGGCATCAAAAATCAGATGGGCTGGACATGTAATGAGGTTTATAGATGACCGCTGGACTAGAGCCATTACTGACTGGATTCCATGGGATGTCAAAAGATCGTGTGGACGCCCATCTACAAGATGGTCAGACTTCTTTGTCAAGACCCTGAATGATTGGTTTGAGGCTCTGCATATTCCTAGAACAAACAGATGCCATTGGGCTACGCTAGCACGCAACAGGGATGAAAGGAGACATTACTGGCACCCGCTCGAGTAAATCCACGAGTAATGAGGTATCAAGTGATCAAGTGATGTAATATAAATATTACTCTCATTTTATAGAAATCTGACTTTCAGGGAGTTCAATTAATTTATCCTTTTTATTAAATCACCATGAGATACAATTACAAGGTTTTCATGTTCAATTAATTTCTAAGAAGAGAGTTAAAATGCATTTAACAATTTTAGTAAAGAAGAGTGAACAATACCCAGAATTGAATATGATTAAAATTGGCATAACTAGCACTTGAAATATTTGAGCATTTGAATATGTAAAAATTTTTTTCAAGAAACCTTCAATAAATAACCATTAGGCCATAATAAGGCATGACCAAGAAACAATGTTTATTCTTTTAAATTTTTTTCTTTTCAATAATGAAGATGAAATTCAGGGTTTCATATATGCAAGTCATGCACTCTATTATTGAACCATATCCACAATGCTTCAATATTTCATTCTAATTAGAGAGCATTGGCCTGGTAAGAGCAAATGGTTTGTTATTTGTAGAGTGAAAGTGACAATATTTCCTCCCTCCAAAAAATAAAACGGAAGATCAAAAAATAATAATGCTAATTATCTCATTTATAAATCACTCAATAAATGACAACTAGAATCTGCGATGTTTCAGAATAACAGAAAAACTAAATTGAAGATGAGAAGGAGAAAAAGAACAAGAAAGAAGAGAAGGGGTAGGAGTAGAAGAATGAAATATACTTGGTAAATTAGGCTAATACTGTTAGTGAGAAAAAATGAGGGTGTGAAGTCTGAGGTATCCATTGACTATATAAATACACACCTTCCTTAACAGAGTATTGCAAATATATTTCCTATCACCTTTAATTATCCTTTCTTGCTACCTCCCATATTTTCAGACTCAAAAATCTACCAAGCATCATCTTTCAGATATACCTATTAAGTAATCTCCATATCTTTGTGTACATATATTCAGAGTGTGTATGTGTATACCGGAATGTACTAATGTTAAGATGTAGTAATAAAATATTTTCTCAAATGTTAAGATCCTTCATGCTTCATTCCTTATGCTAGCTTTTCCTCACTTCCCCCATCTCCTGAAGTGACTGTACCTTAAGTGATATCCAATCCCCCATTTTTTTTTCAGAAACAGAGAAGAGCCTGCACACTTCAACCTTCCTTTGGAGAGGAAGACTTTTCTATCTGAAAAGGAAGAAGCAAATTCATTAGGAATCTGTTCACTCTTCCTCAAGAAAAAAGTCATTGTCTGCATGATTCAAGTCAGATTCGGGAGTTTCTCTATTTTCATAAGCACTGTTTTTGAGTTTATAAGCACACTTTAAAGAAGACGTTTTTATTTACCTTATTTATTAATTTACCTTTTTTGTTTTGGGATGCTCCCTCCCTCAACCCCTGCGCGCGCACACACACACACACACACACACACACACACACATACATGCTTGCATACATACCAGCAATTCTCAGGGTCTATTCCTGGCTCTGTGCTCATTTGTTTATTTTTATTGAGATTCCATTCTTTTTCTTTTTCTTTTTGGGTCACACCCGGCGATGCACAGGGGTTACTCCCGGCTCATGCACTCAGGAATTACTCCTGGCGGTGCTCAGGGGACCATATGGGATGCTGGGAATTGAACCTGGGTTGAATGTGTGCAAGGCAAGCGCCCTAACCACTGTGCTATCACTCCAGCCCCGAGATTTCATTCTTTACAATACTATTAATAATGGTTTCTTATGCACATAATTCAACACCACACCCATAACCAGAGTCAGGGGTTACTCTTGAATAATGCTCAGAGAACCATATGTAAGGTTAGGGATCAAACCAAGGTTGGCTACACACAAGGAAAATGCCTTACCTCTTGGCTTTCTCTCCAGTCCAATGTTTAATCATATTGGTCTACTGTTTTGATACCCAACAAACCAATGAAGGTAAGTTTTTGTGGTTGCATTTTATTTATTTATTTACATTTTAAAAATTTTATTGAATCACCGTGAGATTTAGTTACAAGATTTCATGCTTGAGTTACAATCACACAGTGATTAAACACCCATCCTTTCAACAGTGCACATTCCCTACCACCAATCCCCCCAGTATACACCCCCTTTCCCACCTTCCCATCACCTCCATGGCAGACAATATTCCCTATACTCCTCTCTACTTGTGGGCATTATGGTTTGCAATACAGAAACTGAGAAGTTATCAGGTTATCATGGTCCTTTATCTACTTTCAGCACACATCTCCCACCCCAACAGATCCCTCCAACCATCATTTTCTTTAGTGATCCCTTCTCTATTCCAGCTGCCTTCTCCCACTGCTCCCTATACCCCCCGCTCATGAGGTAGGCTTCAAACTATGGGGCAATCTTCCTGGTCCTTGTGTCTACTGTCCTTGGATGTCAGTCTCATGTTATGTTATTTTATACTCCACAAATGAGTGCAGTCCTTCTATATCTGTACCTCTCTTTCTGACTCATTTCACTTAGCATGATACTCTCCATGTCTATCCACTTATATGCAAATTTCATGATTTCATCTCTCCTAACAGCTGCATAGTACTCCACTGTGTAGATGTACCAAAGTTTTTTTTATGTGGTTGCATTTTACAAGATGAAGAACGACCACATTATGTTTTAATGGACCAAACATCAAAATAATTTCAATATTTCAAAACTATTTATCTCATTTTGAGTAAAAGAATTGTTCTCTTAGCATACAGACTCTCATTTACTCTATCCCAAGTGGGTTTTTCCTGAGGTGTTTCCTCTGTGTAATGGAATGATACAAAACTCTGGAGATATATGGAGATTGTTGGGAACAAGACACTTTTTCTGCTGTTGAATCATCATTCATGGTTTTGATCACCAGATAGGTGAGCAGATCACAGAAGTCCTCATGTTACTACATGAAAGAAAGATGGCAATTACCTGCCAGGATATCAGCCTCATCCATGAACTGTGTACTGAAGACAACTACATGGTCTGTTTTCCTCTCCCTCAAGAAGTTCCAAACTTGGTGTCTTGAAAAGGGATCCAGTCCAGCAGTTGGTTCATCCAGTAGAAAGATCTACAAAGGAAGAATATATATATGGGTTTTTCACTAAAATGCATATATATGAACAATAAAATGCATATATGGACTCACTGTATTATTAATATTGAAAAGGATATTATAATATTGTGGTTTGAATGACTTACATTTAAAATACTATAATGGCTTTTTTTCTTTCAATTTTCAGTGAGGCACCATGTTTAAAATACTGTTAATAATATTTTATCATAGATACCTTTGCAAACAAAAAGGCTGACTTAAAGGTTATTTACATTTTTGAACTTATCCTTAAGTTTAGTCTGGCTTACCTGAGGATCTCCTAAAATGGCAATTCCAAAGGTTAGTTTTCTTTTCTGTCCACCACTTAAATTTTTAGCAAGGACGTTCTGAATATTTTTCATTTCCAACTGCAGCATAACTCTTTGTATCTAACCAAAAGACAACATTTATGTCATAAAACAAGATTTATTTGTCATTTTTCACTTATAAAACAAGATTGGTAAATTGGTGAAAAGACAGACTCTTTGAATGCTGCTTACATTAAGTAGCTGCTAATATTAAGTTACTTATAGCAAAGCAGGTAGGGCAGTTGCCTTGCATGCAGCCGACCCAGGTTCGATTCCTCCGCCCCTCTCAGAGAGCCCGGCAAGCTACCTAGAGTATCTTGCCAGCATGGCAAAGCCTGGCAAGCTACCTGTGACGTATCCGATATGCCAAACACAGTAACAACAAGTCTCACTATGGAGACGTTACTGGGCCCACTCGAGCAAATTGATGAACAATGGGAGGACAGTGACAGTGACAGTGACTTATTTGAACATCAATTACTACATGTATGAAATGGAAATAAAAATAGTATCTATATCAGGGATTTATTGTGAGGACAAAAAGCGTTTTTATATTTAAAGTTAAAAATAATGTTTGGCACAGTGAGTAGGGCGTTTGCCTTGCATGTGGCCGACCTGGGTTTGATTTTTCCATCCCCCTCGGAGTGCCCGGCAAGCTATCGAGAGTATCTCGCCCGCATGGCAAAGCCTGGCAAGCTACTGTGATGTATTCGATATGCCAAAAACAATAACAACGAGTCTCACAATTTGTTGTGAGACATTACTGATGTCTGCTCGAGCAAAACAATGAACAATGGGAGGACAGTGCTACAGTGCTACAATGCAAATTATACATAGATGTGAGATAAATAAATTAGATTTTGTTCAATAGTTATACAATAATTTACATAAATATAATTCAATACGGGCATAAAGACTCAATTCAAACAGAGTTAACAATCTCATTCGACTAATACATTAATTTTAACATATTTGTACCTCTTGCTCTACATCATGGGGTGGAATCCCTTTGATTTTTGCAAACAGTCTGAGATTTTCCCTCACTGTGAGGAAGTCAAATTGCACATTGGATTGTGGACAAACACCAATGAGCTTGCTGACAGCTCCCAAGCCATTTGTTTCTGAAACCTTGTCATTATAGATGGTTACAGAACCTGCAACAATTAAGGTCAGGATAGCACTTACATGAATATCTTTCTAAATAACGAAAATTTCTAAATTACATTTTAGTTACAGGCTTTCAGTGTTTTTTTTCCCCTCCTCCTCCTCCTCTTCTTCCTCCTCCTCTCTTCTATCCTTCTTCCTTCTTCTTTCACACTAGACTGTACTTAGGGCTTACTCCCTGTTCTGCTTATAATGGACTTCACTCTTATACTTAAATTTGAGCTAGGCTGTCTGTCCTCCACTGATCTCCCAATCACTTTTTTAAAATTTAGACACTGATTTAATTAATGTGTCTATATAGTTTTAGGCATGCAATGTTTCAACACTAATTTCATCACCAGTGTCAACTTCCCTCATTCAACGTTCCTGGCTTCTCTCCCACTCCTCAGCCTGCCGCCCCCCACCCCCAAGCAGGCATTTAAGTTTATTCCTGTGGTTTGGGCCCCATGTTGAATGGTTCTGTGGTTTAGATGCACACACATATATCTCACATCTATCCCACTGGTGTGTTCAATCACCTCAACCCTTACCCCATTTACCCAATATCCATCACTTCTTATTACCCCTCTGTTTCACCTTTCTGAAAGACTTATATTAGTATTCTGCTTTTGGTAAGTGAAATAAAGTCCAAGAATTTTCACTTTGCAGACAAAAAGAAAAATGAACATGAAAATAGTGTTTAGTATTTGTTTTGCATCAACTGTTCTAGATGCAGTCATAAACTGAGCAGTGAGGGTGACACCACCAAGATCTTTCCCTGGGAACATTAGTTTCTCTGCACAGGTGGCATATTTATCAGGCCCTTCCTGCCTTTGCTATATGTTAGTTTTATTTTAGGTCTTAGGTGTTAGTTTATAAGATATGGTGAATTGTGTAGGGGCATCCAGGAAGATGTAAAAAATTTTTTCCTATAAATTAAAGGTGTTTTTTTAAACAGCTAATGAAATATTGATAGGAATACTCCAGTTGCAGATAGTGGAAGAAATGTATATGACTTTATCTATAAGTTATTCAATTTTGGAATTACAAAATTAAAGTAATTTCTGAGAATGTGAAATAAACAGAGCTGAAAGGGGAATCTACTCTGGTTTTATTTCTCTTTTGGGTGCTGAGGTGGTGGAATTATGGATGATAAATGGATGAAAATCCCAGACTGACTTGCAGGGAGTGTTCCTAAGTGAAGTCTCAGACTTGTGAATGAGGGTACACTCACCATTCAGCCCCATTCCAGGTTACATTGACTGTTTCATAGTTCAGACAGGAAAATCCATAGTCACTGAACCCACAGAACACAATCAGCTAACCAACCCACAGAACCATAAAAAAAGAGAGAAAGCGTTTTAATTTTAAGCTGTTGATTTTGGAAATGTTTATCACGCACCAAAAGCTAATGGATATAAGTGTGATCACCAAATGGTAACAAATGACTGTAAAAATACTTATCATAAAATAGTTGATTTTCAAATATCACACAGATTATATTGTTATATACCACAATACTATAAATTAATTCCAACTTGCCCTTATTTAGGATTTAAGGAGAAGAAAATTTTATTACTAGCTGGTGCAATTGTCAATCTGACTTTGGGGAGAAGCATATGTTACCTTTGGTGGGAATAGATAACCCACTAAGAATGTTGAGCAGAGTTGATTTCCCAGCTCCACTGTGCCCAAGTATTGCAGTGATTTGGCCTTCATATATGTCAAATACAAGACCTAGGGAGAGAAAGAGAATAGGAAGGAAGAATAGGAGAAATGAAGGAAACGAGGTGAGGTAGTAGGAGGGAGAGCAAAACCACAGGAAAATTTTCTTTTGGAAGCATCTTCTCAGTTTTCATGTTATAACCAGCAGTGCTCAGAGGTCACTCAGGGGTCCATGTGTGGGAGTCGGGGATTTGAACCGGGATAAAGTCAAGCACCTTAATTTCTGTACTATTTCTCCTGCACCATAATATTCCTACTTATACTTTAATTTTCTTTCCTGTTTAGAAAATTTTAGTTGCTTACTTTAAAGAAACAATGTGTGTCTTTTACTCTGATTCGTTGATGCTGTTTGGTATATTGTAGGTGGATATTAATATTTTTTGATCAAAATAGGTCTAAAGTTTAATTAATTTTTATGAAGGCAGAAAGTCCTTTGAGACAAATGACATTTTTGTTATATGAAAGAAAAATAAATATATAATAAATATGTAGCTACAACAGCTTTAGTATTGCAGAAGAAAAAGTTGAATTTGTAGAAAACAATCCTTAGCGTATCTTTGGACTAGTTCAGTCTTAACAGTTTATCTTTCTTTTTTAGGTGCTTTTTCTTTTACTTTTTTCAAGTGAGGGAGGGGTTGGGCCATACCCAGCGGTCCTCAGGGGGTATTACTGGCTCTTTGCTCAGAAATTACTCTTGGTGGTACTTAGGGGACCATACGGGATGCCGGGGATTGAATACAGGTCAGCCACGGACAAGGCAAGTGCTCTACTCATTGTGCTATCACTCCAGTCCCCATAGTATACATTTAAAATGCATATAATTTTGAAATGTTCCTAATCTTTCCCAACTTTCATGCTATAGAAATAATGTGTTTGGGGCTGGAGTGATAGTACAGCGGGAAGGGTGTTTGCCTTGTATGCGGCTGACCTGAGTTCAATCCCTGGCATCCTATATGATCCCCCAAACACTACCAGGAGTAATTCCTGAGTGAAGAACCAGGAGTAACCCCTGAGCATTGCTGGATGTGGCCCCAAAAGTCAAAAAAAGGTATTTGGAGTAAAATTTTATTATAGGGTTATTATAAATTTCAGATTACCAACTCTGACATGGCATAGGAAATTGCTTAATAGTTAATGGGGCCAGAGTGATAACACAGTGAGTAGGGAGCTTGCCTTGCACCAAACTGGCCTGGCTTTGATACTCAACTTTCCATATGGTCCCCTGAGCATTGCCAGGGTGATTCTTAAAATCAGAACCAGGAGTAAGCCCTAAGCATCACAGAGTGTGGCCCAAAAAACAAAAACAAAACAAACCCGGAAAAGTAGTTGAATTAAAGTTAGAAAATCAACATCAATACAATAATTATTTCCTTTACCTTTCAGAGCTTCTATTTTGTTAGGTTTTCCTTTATATTCTTTTGTAACATTTCTAATTCTGAAAGAAAAGGAAATATTTCAAGATGTGAGGAATTTGATTCACATTATAAGTCTGTTTTTTGTTGAAAGTCTTGAGTTAACTTTATCTTTAGGGTATAAAAAGATATCTTTAGGAATTTTATCTTTAACCCATCTTTAGGGAATTTTACACTCAAGTAGTCAGGTTTGCATGAGAGAATTAGAAAACTGTTTTTCAGCCCTGGCTGAAAAATATTGCTATCTGAGGTGTTCATAAACTTTGTCTAAACTTGAAACTAAATGATAGGATACAAAAGAGTGGGTGGGTGAGTGAACTCATCTCTGAAGTGAAACTCATCTCTGAATTACTAAGCCAAGGAATCCAGATTAAGGGATAATATGGACATTCACTAAATTTCTTTAAGTGAAGTGAAATCGTTTTATTTAAAGAAATTGAGAGGTGAAGTGAAAGATGTATATGTGTTTAAGAGAGAACACACCTTTCTTCAGAAGAGAAAAAATCAAGTGTACACATATTAGATTGAGATGTCAAACAATCTTCAGGGTAGAGAACCTGCCTCAGAGGGCATCCAATATGAAAATATCATTGTGAGTGAAAGTTGGAAAAAGCTTTAGTTTATGGAGCGATAGCACAGCGGTAGGGCGTTTGCCTTGCACGCAGCCAGCATGGCCGATTCAAGTTCGATTCCTCCGCCCCTCTCAGAGAGCCCGGCAAACTACCAAGAGTATCTCGCCCACATGGCAGAGCCTGGCAAGCTCCCCGTGACGTATTCGATATGCCAGACACAATAACAACAAAGTCTCCAATGGAGACGTTACTGGGCCCGCTTGAGCAAATCGATGATCAACGGGAGGGCCTTTACTTTTTTACTTTACTTTAGGTCAAGATCTCCAAAGGTTAATTAAGAGATGCAAGAGGAGAATTTGGAGTGCTATTGAGTTGTGTTGAAAGATAAATAAAATATTCCATCTTGCATACTTATTAGTTTATGTTAAATATTTAATAAGCATATATATATGATGTTGATAAGATGATGATGGCAACATAAAATAATGAAATTATAATTTATTGGGCTATTATTGGAGATGTGGTGAACTAGGGGTATTTATTATCTGTTTTATTCTACCAAATAAATGGTATCAAATTTATTTTGTTTGTCTTGTTGTTATTCATCAAACAATTTTGCATCCATTCATATTGAAATATTTAGTTTGATTTTTGTCATCCATGTCTTTATTATACTTTCCCATCATTCTATAGCACTTATAATTGAATGGACTGCTAAATAGAGAGAAGAAAAATAAAAAGCAAAACATTGTGCATCAAACAAAGCCATTGATTTTCTCCAAGCTGCTCTGCTGGAGTTTAAACCATTTAAGTCACAATAAATAAAAATATGGAAGATAAATACAGGACATTTTCAAGTAAAATAGAAAAAGGACTTAAACTCAGTAGGCTGACAAAATCTGAGACAGGTTTCAGAAGACAGGGAGGTGTGGCTCACTGGATGGGAGGTAAGATTTGAACAGTCAAGCAACTTGAGGACTTTCATTCGACATTCTTATTTGGTAAAATCAGCTGCAGCACCAAATAAAATGCATATTTGTTTTCCCACAGACGAAGACATGCATGAGTCTAAAATGTACATGTTTCTTATTTCCCATTGCATCAGTCTCTATTCTTTATTTCACATTTTTAATCTCCTTTGACAGGCAATAAATAGAAGAGAAATATACATTGAGATAATAGGGGGAATATATGAAGTAGGAAAAGAATATATATAGTATGAGGACACAAGATAGAGACCAAGTGGCATAGGCTAAGGATGCTAATGATGGAGAGGAAGAAGGATATAAAAGACTGAGAATCTATGCAGGGTTTGGTTGAATTCTCTTCCTCCCTCCCTCCCTCCCTCCTTCCCTCCCTCCCTCCCTCCCTCTCTCCCTCCCTCCCTCCCTCCCTCCCTCCCTCCCTCCCTCCCTCCCTCCCTCCCTCCTTCCTTCCTTCCTTCCTTCCTTCCTTCCTTCCATCCTTCCTTCCTTCCTTCCTTACTTATCTAAATTTGTAGCTAGGGCTGGAACTATAGTACAGCAGGTAGGGCATATGCCTTGCACGTGGCCAACCCAGGTTCAATCCCCGGGATTTCATATGGTTCCCCAAGCACCATCAGGAGTAATTCGTGAGTGCAGAGTCAGGAGTAGCCCCTGGACATTGCTGGGTATGAACCAAAAAGAAAAATAAAACAATACATGCATTTGTATCTATCGTAAATGACAGCAGCATAAGATACAAAAGCAAGATGAATTTTTTTAAAACCTAAAGTGGGAAGTGATGGATACAGCATGGATAAAGCTCGATAGAGCCATTAGCTTTTCAATTTTTGGACTGTATTCCATTGTCATCTTTATTACCTGATGGCTTCTTTTCCATTAAATTCTGGAGACATAGGTTCAAAAGAGTCATTGGAGAAAGGCTCTGAATCTATTTCATCTTCAAGGACCACATGCTCAGCCTTCTGTTGTGACCAAAATGAGGATTTCAGGAAAAACAGTGGAGGGTATCGATGTCCAAATTCATCTAGATGGCCAGAAGACAAATATTGGGTCAACCTTTTCTAAGAGAGACCATCACTCTGATGCCCTATAACCCTTGCCAAAGAGACTGAATCCATGCTGACATAACCTAGTTTTGATATATAACTTAATAAGGAAAAATAGTCACTGACACTTCACTACTGTAATTACCATTTCTTATAAGAAACAATAAAACTGTGATTTTAAACAATTGTATGGAACTGGGTGACATTAGGATAAGTGAAATATATCAGAAGGAGGATAAATGCTGATCTCACTTATCTATGTTATATTGAATGATGGGACAAAGGAATGCAGATTATCAGATGGGGAATACCTAGATTACCCAGGACTCTAGATTATAGAAATGAGGACAGGGAAGGGGAAAAAATCAAGGGGAAGTAAGAAGAGAAAGGAGGTAATAAGAAAGGGGTCAGGACCTCAGAACATCAGTGGTGTTCAAACCATGTTATGCTGGGGATTGAACCAGGGAAAAACACAAGCAAAGCAAGTGCTTTACCATGTGCTATTTCTCCAGCTCTGAGAAGATATTAAAAAATGTAGATTTCTTGCTCCCAGTACCAAGGAATTTTATCAGATCCATCAGGGTTAGTATTTTTGAAAGCTTCCCTTGTGGTTTTGATGTATTACCAGAGCTTACCAGCCGCTACCCAGCTGCTGCCACACTCCAGGCCACTTTTCAGACTGCTCGGGCCAAGCCTCACGCATGAGTGAAACCCCACAGAACCAAGTAAAGCAGAACATTGTGACCTTGGACTCCAGACTCAATGGGACCCGGAAACAAAGATCCTCTGCCTGCTTCCACCAATCTCCAGCGACCCAGGGATCACACCCAGAAGACCCACCATGCCTGAGCCAGATAAATATCTCATCAGCCGACCTCCGCTACCTACACTACCCAGCCGCTGCCATGCTCCAGGCCACTTTCTGGAATGCACAGCCACGAAGTGTCATAAGACACTACCCATTTTTCATTATTACCGTATCATATTTGTTGGGGTTCAAATATAGTTTGAACCATAGGAACACCTGCAAGGGCGATTAGAGGCCACCCTAAAAGCCTCTATCCCTCTCAGAGAACCTGACAAGCTACTGAGAGTATCTTGCCCTCACAGCAGAGCCTGGTAAGCTATCCATGGCATATTCGATATGCCAGAAACAGTAAATACGATGGGTCTCATTCCCCTGACCCTGAAAGAGCCGCCAATACAGCAGCGTTAAGAAGAATGAGGAAGGAGAGGCTGATAAAATCTCAGGGCTGAACTAGGCTGCCAAAACAAAGAAGGACTAAAATGACTGTCTGTCCTTTCAACACATGTACGATGGCATTGGAAGCATCCATAGAGGATCTGATGGTGCAAGCGCGGAAGATCAAGTATGACATTATTGGTCTGACCGAGACAAGAAAGCATTGATCACATCACGCCATTTTTGACACTGGAGAAGAACTGTTTCTCAGAACATGCGACAAAAGAGGCATCGGTGGTGTCGGTGTCCTTGTCAACATGAACTTAGACATGAGCACTGATTCATTCAAATGTCTAACAACCCGAATCAGATGATTATACTTGACTAGATGTGGCTCACTGCTGGCAGTTTCTATCTTTGTTGTCTACACACCAACATTCAATTATGATGGAGAAATTGAGGAGTTCTACATGGAGCTGGAGTTCTATAAAGAAGAGCACACCTTCTATAAGATCATTGTTGGTGATTTCAATGCCAAGATAGGACCAAGAAGATAGGCCAAAGAACTCCACATCAGGTCCCATGGCCTAGAATGGAAAGAACAGGGTGAGAGACTGTCTGAGTTCATCATGTTGACCAAGACCATCCATCATAACTCACAGTTCCAGAAGGCCAAATCAAAATGTTGGACATGGGAGTCTCCCAGTGGGCAGTTAGACAATGAAATTGACCACATCATATGCAATTGACAGATTTGCCTGACAGATGTTGCTGTTGTTCCAAAATTCCAAACGGGATCGAACCACCATCTCTTTCATGAAAAATTCTACTTCATGGAGCAGAGAGAAAGGGCTGCATAGTTTAAGAAGAGAACTCCCAGAGTGACCATCAACTGGAAGCTCTTTGGCACTATTGTGGCAACATGGGAAGATGCAATCGTTGATGACATTGACAAAGAATACGATCAACTGGTTCAGCACTTCCATGATTGTGCGAGGAAGACCGAGAGAGAGAAAGCCACAAAAAGATGCCTGTCTTCAAAAACTCTCTAGCTCATTTGCTAACGTGGCTGGATGTGAGCCTCTGGCAACCATAAGCAAACATCCAAGCTTGCAAAGCAGTGCAGAAAAGTGATGAAAGAAGACCTCAAATAGAGCAGCAGTGCTGGCCAATGCAGCAAAAGCCAGGAAAAGCATTCGCAACTCCTGCCTGCCCTTCGCCAACTACAAGACCAAATTGACTGCTCTCCGATGTCCTGATGGATCTATCACATCTTCCAGAAGGAAATGGAGAAGATTATCCATGACTTCTACTCAGACCTCTTCGATAGACACGTCCACCTGCCCACATATCAAATTCTGCAGGATGGATATGTTGTTCCCAACATTCTCCTTTCCGAAATCTGACACACCATTTCATTGGTAAAGAAATGAACAGCACCTGGCCCAGACATGGTCAGACCTGAATACCTGAAGAATCTGCTCTCAGTACTCATCAATACACTGACTTGGCTCCTCACATGCCACCTGTCTGAATGCAAGGTTCCGTCCCAATGGAAAACCAGTAGGACCATTTTACTATACAGAAAAGGGGGCATCCACGACATTGGCAACTATCGCCCGATCTGCCTGTTGTCCATTGTCTATAAGCTGTTCAATCAAGTCATTCTGAATAGGATTGGCAGAATACTAGATGAAGGACAACGATGTGAGCAAGCCGGATTCTGAAAAGGATTCAGCATGATTGACCATATCCACATGGTAACCAAGCTCATTGCAGTTTCTCTGGAGTTCAAGATGTCTAATGTTCATTGATTTAAAGAAGGCCTTTGATTCTGTTGAGACAGAAGTGGTCATTGAAGCCCTAGCTGAACAGGGCATTCAAACTCGATACATCAGGATCCTCCATGGGCTGTATTACAGATTCACTACCAGGATCTCACCATTCTACAAGGAAATGATCATCAACGTCAAGAGAGGGGTTTGGCAGGGTGATACCATTTCACCAAAACTCTTCAGTGCCACCCTCGAGAATGTCATGTGATGACCGGAATGGGAAGGAATGGGAGTGAAGATAGACGGCCTGCAACTACACCACCTCTGCTTTGCTGATGACATTGTTCTAATGACACCAAACATTAGCCACGCGGCACAAATGCTGGTCGACTTCGACAGTGAGTGTGGAAAGGTTGGACTCCAGCTGAATCTCACGAAGACAATGTTTCTGAGAAACAGACTCCTTCCTGATGTTCCATTCTCTCTCAACAAAATGAACATCTCCAAATGAGGCAGTTATGTGTACCTAGGTCGAGAACTCAACACTACGTATGACCTGGCACCTGAGTTGTGCCCTCCAGCTCCAGGCACATCTCTTCGACTCCACCATTCTTCCTGAATTAACATATACCTCAGAGACCTGGGCCCTATGAAAACAGAATGTGAATGCTATTCGGGTCTCCCAAATAGGAATCAAAAGAGCTGGAGAATCACGCTTCACTCAAAGAGAGAAGGAATGCAGAGTTCTGACCTCTGTTGATGATCAAGAGTCAGGGACGCTGTCTCATTTGCCAAAGAGTCGAAAATCAGATGGGCTGGACACGTAATGCGATTTGGAGATGACCGCTGGACTAGAGCCATTACCAACTGGATTCCAAGGGATGTCAAAAAATTGCATGGCTACCCACCTACAAGATTGTCAGACTTCTTCTTCAAGACCCTGAACGAATGGTTTGAGGCGCTTCATGTTCCTGGAGTGAGCAGACGCCATGGGTCTACACTAGCACATGACAGGGACGAATGGAGATGTTACTGGTGCACGCTCGAGCAAATTGTTGAGCAACAGAATGTCAAGTGATCAAGTGACCAGGGCTTAAACTCTGAGCTTCATAGTTGAGACAAAGATAGCAGCAAATTCAATGAATGAGCACTGACCAGACCTGTGCTTAGCTACTAGTTTTTAAAAACATTTCCTAAAAGAGAAACAAACTAAAATACTTTGGAGTGAAAAAATAAACCAAAATTAGTGATTTTGTAAACAAATTTCAGACTTTTATTCTGACCAGTCGAATAGCAAGAAAGATGGCATTGTTATCTTTCAGTCAAGATTGCAGGGCCATAAGCACTGGAGGGGTGGCAGCTCTCAGCCCTCTGAACAGCCAATGGGCCACAACATTTCTGCGTGAGTGAACATGGGTGCCCCTTGGGTATTCTGGCTCAGGAAGAGCACCATTAAACAAAACTGACTGGTTGCCTGCCACAGAGCACCAGCCAGGAGGGGGATAAGTTAGGATGTTGGTTGCATGACTGCCAGATGGTGGATGTTCCACAGCTTTGGGTGCTATGGGCCAAAGCAAAGTTTTAAGGGGTCTAAACAGGGCTCTTTAGGCCCAACTAGGCACCACTGTGAAGTGTAGGTGTTGAAGTTCCGGAATTGAGGAGGCGCTCAGCATCCCCACCATGGGGCCCGGGCTATTTGAAGCTGGCTGGGTGGCCCTGCCACCATTTCTTCCCTAGACCAGCCTGCACAGCCTGCAGCATCTTATTTATTTATTTATTTACTTGTTTTATTAGTGAAATACCATGAGTTACAGTTGTAGATTAACAAACTTTTGTGCTTGGGTTTCAGTTATACAATGATCAAGTACTCATCTCTCCACCAGTGCCCATTCTCCACCACCCCTCCCACACCCCCATCCTCTTCCCCCCTCCATCCCACCCCACCTCTGTGGCAGGGCATTCCCTTTTTCTCTCTCTTTCCTTTAGGGTGTTGTAGTTTGCAATAGAGGTATTGAGTAGCCATTTTGTTTGGTCTATAGTCTACTTTCAGCACGCATCTCACATCCCAAACAAGTCCTCCAAACATTTTCTACTTGGTGTTCCCTTCTCTATCTAAACTGCCTTTCCCCCCAGCATGTGCTGCTGGTTTCTACGCCATGGAGTAGAATTCCTGGTACTTATCTCAACTATTCTTGGGTGTTTGACTCCCATTCTGTTACTTTATATTCCCCAGATTAGTGCAGTCTTTCCATGTCTGCTCCTCTCCTTCTGGCTCATTTCACTTAGCATGGTACTTTCCATGTAGAACCACTTCTTTGTAAATTTTATGACTTCATCTTTTCTAACAGTGGCCGCAGATTCTTATGGAGGAAAACCTCCCTGAGTGCCAACTGTCTGGAGACTAAAGATGGGGGTGTGTGCCCCCGGTCAGGCTCTGCTGGACTGATGGCTGCAGATTTCCCAGAGTGCCCAAGTTGCATACTGTAGCAGCCCTATACTGGGTTCCGACTCTTGCCTGGTCCACTGCTGCTGTCACTAGTGGAGCCAGGGGCCGCAGTGCTGCTGGCAGATCAACCTGGACCCACAGGTCGAGTGCATCAGTAGCCTGATGTTGTCCTTGGGCATACTGATGCCCCCAAATCACTGCTGTGTCTCTGGCCAGACTCCAGCAACTCAGAACCAAGTTTCTGGAGATATTAAACTGCCAGAAGTTAGGTATGTGGGAGCCACACTCAGAAACCACCTCTTGCTCAGTCATACAAGCTCATTTATCAGCCATGCTTCAGAGACCCATAAATAAGTCTCGAAAGAGATCAGAAGCTGCAATTAATTTCAGACCTATGCAAGACTGTACAAACAGGATACATACATCACAGGGGTTTGGGGTCAGCCTGCTGCCCACTGAAGCAGAGTTCCCCTGTCAGCCGCTTGCTCCCACAATCCAAAATCACCACCATACCCTAGGATGTACTCCACTGTTTCGAGACAGACCTCACAGAAATATTAAACCTGCTGAAAATTCAAATATGCAGGTTTTGTGACTGAAATCTTCAGTCTCTCTTGGGGTCGAGATATGCTACCTTCTCACACCTCCCTGCACATCCGGAAGTCCTAGCAGTCATATACACAATCCAAAGCTGCCACCCAGTTGCAAACCATAGTGCACAGAGAGAGAGAGAGAGAGAGAGAGAGAGAGAGAGAGAGAGAGAGAGAGAGAGAGAGAGAGAGAAGAAAGAGAAAGGTACCAGCCACAGAGACAGATTGGGGGATGAGAAGAGGGGGTGGGAGGAAACTGAGGACATTGGTGGTGGGAAATATACACTGGTAGAGGGATGGGTGTTGGAATATTGTATGACTGAAACCAAATCATAAATAGCTTTGTGATGGTCTATTTCATGATTCAATTTTTTAAAAAGTAGAAAGAAAGAAATGGAGAACTAATTTGGTCATAGATAACCAACCTTTTCCACTTCATTCCTTTTGATGCACAAGATATATAATATATATAAAATATATATATTATATAATAAAAAATGATATATATAAAAGTAGTTCTTAAATAATACCCAAGTTAAGAAATTAGTTTTAGCAAATACATTTTTAAATGACAATTTTCTTTAACTATATCACTACTCACTTGGCAAAATTTTTTCAAAATACATCGTCAGTACCAGATAGAGGAAAATGTCAAAAATCAACATGAAATCTGTTGCTATTATTAGATGTGAAGTGTCCGGTGGATCAGGAAACACATTAGAATTCAAGTCATAGTCCAAGTGCAAAAGCTGAAAGTCAAAAAGCAATGATTAAAGGAAGTTAGGTTTATAATAAATTTTAAATGGCATTAGCATTAAAATGAGAGACTGCTTCCTTTACGTTTCTCAAACCCGTTAGAAGGCATGGACACATGATCTATTTATGATGCAATTTAGTAGCTGCTATAATTTTTTAAAAATAAGGTAAAAAAAAACAGGGGCTTCCAGAAGATGTAGAAAAGAAGAAGACATCTGAATTTAACCTTGCATTAATTTTTATCAATATTTACCAATTTTGACCAACAGGAAAAAGTTGGGAGACTCCTTGAAATAGCTAAATGATAAAGAATTTCTGTTCCAGTGAAACAAAATAAACAAAAAATACTGCCAGTATTCAAGTTAATAAATATTTTATAATTTATAATATTTACTTTTGTTGAACACTATATAATGGCTATGGAATGATTGGCAATACCATGTATTTGGATATATAAGAGCCTGGCTTCAATATGAGAATCAGATAAAGAGAAAAGACAGGAACAGCAGTGCAATTAACTAATTAGTATGTTTTCAAGGTTTTTTAATTTCCAATTTTCTTTCACCTTAGAGCTTTGCAACCATATGGATTCTTCAATGACTAAGCCAAAATTTGAGCTGAAATTGTTATTTAGAATTAGATTGTCACATCAAACCCATATTGAATTCACAGTCAAAGGGGAAAAAATTACAATGTCTCTAAAGAATTATATATTGATCCTCTACTGAACTAAGTAGTTCATTTTGTTAAGATAAATGCTTCCAGAGCTTGGTAAAGTTAATTTTCTCAACTTCATAACATACTTCACCAGCATATTAAACCTTATAAGAACCTTTTAAGAACATCTTAGTAATAAAATCTTGCATGTTGAGCATGGAACTCAAAACAGACTAGTGAACTCCAGAGAGGAAAGTTGTTTCAGAAAATCTGCCAATAATTCCTGAGATTGCTCTTACCTGTGCCATTCCAAGGGTGAAGGCAAAGGGGCTAAGTAAACTTAAAATCCACTCCAGTGCTGCAGGAAGATGTCTGTACAATGCCGTGAATCCCAGCGTCCCACAAAAGACAGTGAGAAGGAATACAACAAGGGCTGTGAGGAAAGATTTCTTCACCAACACGCTCATTAGAAAAGACAGAGCTATCTAAAAGGAGAGACGATTTTATTAGTTTATGTTCCTCTATGAACTCCTATTAACATTAAAAAACAGGGGATATACTATATAGCACTGTCTAGCATCCTGTTGTTCATCAATTTGCTGGAGCAGGCACCAGTAATGTCTCTATTCATCCCTGTCACATGCTAGTGTAGCCCAATGGTGTCTAATCGCTCCAGGAACACGAAGTGAGACTTATTGTTACTGTTTATGGCATATTGAGTACGCCATGGGTAGCTTGCCAGGCTCTGCCGTGCGGGTGGGATACTCTTGGTAGCTTGCCGGGATAGCAGAGAGGGATGGAGAAATCGAACCCAGGTCGGCCAAGTGCAAGGCAACGCTCTACCCACTATGCTAATTAATTAATTAAGATAGCACAATGGGTACCATATAGTAATTATTATTTTTATAGGAAATACAAAACAGGCTCTTTAAACTATACAACATATTGTTATTCCAAAACACTGAAAATCAAAGGGCACTAGTCTATATATTTCCTCTCGTAAATAGGACAGAAAAGAAAAGGAACATGTAGGATAGTACCCCAGTTGAAAACTGACACTCGATTCTTAGAGTTGGATGGGAAGAAGTTTTATTCACCAACTCACCAAAGACAATCCATAGAGGAAAAAGTGAATGAAGACCACCAGGAAGCCAGTCAGTATGACAAATTGGACAGATTTGATTAGAAGTGCTATCAAAAGGGCCATTATGAAGATGAAACCAGCGTAGAGCAATCCCCAGGAGTACCTAAAGAAGAAAAACAACAGTACTTAAATATTTTGTGTTCAATTGACTTTGATGCCCTAGAATTAATGTTATCTCAATTTGTTCATTTATTCATTCAGTAGTTATGTATGGATGTTTAATATATACATCTATAGAAATATATTTATATGTATACATATATGAATAATTTTTAGTATTTGGGAATATTATTTTCCTAAAATTAGCTCCAAAATGTACACACACAGAGGCTGATATATTTTAGTTCAAATATTGTTTCTATTGTTTTTTTCTTCTGCTAACTTCAGGCATACTCCGTAATGCCTTCTAAATCTATAGGACTTTGAATGATAGGAATAATAACTATGGTGAGAACTCAGTAAGGTTGAGCCTATATAGAACTCTGTGCTTGTTCGCAGTAACTTCTTAGTTATGATAAGGGATTATAGAAACTAGCAAAATTCTTAGAATTTCAAATCCCTTTCTCTATCAACAAGATATATATAAAGAGTAAAGTTACGTGCAATTCCTGAAGAAAATTGTCTTGTTCTAGACACACATCTGGAAGTAGAGATTGAATGAGAGAGAGAGAGAGTACAAATTACGGATGAACATAAAATGGAGAGGGTAGAACATAAAAGCACAAAAAGACAGAGGGTGGAAATCTGATACATGATGCTCAATCAAAACTGCTGTGTCACTGAATCCACAAGAAAATGTTATTCAGTCGATCAGCTCATAGTCAAACTTGGTATCTTTGATTAACACATGAAGCTCGTTGGGTTTCTGGGGCAGAGTCAAACCCACTGATGACTGCCTACCTAAGTCCAGTGGGGCCCTATAAGGGCTTGAAAATAGCAAAGGGGTTTGTGTCCAAATCAAAAGAACATGAAAAGGCAACACTAGTCTTAAAGTCTTTGATGATAGAGCCCTGATCGGCCATTCAATCCATCCACTCTATGGAGTTTGGCATTGATAGACATTTCTAATTTGAAGCCCAATCACCCAAAATGAAATAAACTTGAGTTCGCAGTCGTTCTTTTGGCAAGTACAAGCACAAATTGTCTTGCAGTGATTCTTTGAAACTGGTGAAAGGGTTTCAGTGGAGATCTGAAAAGCAGAACTTGAGGGAATCTAATGAACCTTTTCAAACCCAACATAGATATACCTACGGTAGTAGAAACTCTACCCCCTGGTCAACTTTTAGTGTTGTTTATGCATAATAGTCAGGCATGTGGGGACACACATGAATTACTCCATATGTCTGCAGCAAAGGCCTATCTCAACACCACAACTTGGTGAAACAGAGCTACTCATAAAATAACAGTAGTACACCATGGGTTTCTATTCTAATTGACTGAACTTTAGTTATACTTTTGGAGCCTTGACACCTCTCTCCATGACCCCCTATTGCAAGGAATAAAAAAGAAGGCTTTTTGAATGGTAGTGACGGAGTATTTGTATGCACAATCACAAGTTACCAACCAGGCTGACTAGACTGTGACATAGTATATTAGGTGACAGATTCCATTAATAGTTGTCCCTGGATCATAGCCCAGACTGTTAGACCTCAGAACTACAAAAGTTTTAGGGCACTAGCTCATAAATCCACAGAAGTCACCCACACCCCCATAAACCCAGAAGTCAAGGGAACAAGACAATTTGGTGAATGTGAACCATGACTTGCTCCTCAAATCAGTTTATGCTTGGAATTACATTCCTATTCCTATCCATCAAGTGGTACCAGAAATAATAAAAAACAAATAAAAAAGGGAATTCAGCTGCATCGAATAATGGGAACAATAACCTAGAGATATCTTCATCTACATATCTACATCTGAACTGTTAAAACTGCTCAATGAAGATTTCAAAGTAACAATTTTTATGATGTTTAATAGAAAGGAAGCAATAAAGGAATATTTCATTTAGAAGTTTGAAGAGAAGTTGATGGGAAAGATGAATAAAACTCATGCAGGCAGAAATGAGAGCTAAGTGAGTTGCTAATCTAAATAACTCGGTAACAGGGCCTAAAAGTAGGAAGGAAAAGGTCAATATTTGTATCAGTGATATTGAGGGCAAAGTCTGTGACATCATCAATAAAGAAGAGGAAATGATTTTAGAAATAAATAAGTAAATCACACCTAAGGGATTTATGGAATAATATCAAGAGGAGCAACTTGCACATCACAAGCATTCCAGAAAGAGAAGAAAAAGGGAAAGGGGAAGAATTACTTGTAGAAGAAACAATAGTTGAGAACTTACCCAACCTGACAAGAGAGACATGTGCACTGATTCAAGAAACACAAAGAGCTCCAGGGTAAATAATTCTCAAGAGAAGAGCACAAGGGCACATTGTAATCAAAATATGGGGAGAGAGAGAGAGAGAGAGAGAGAGAGAGAGAGAGAGAGAGAGAGAGGAGAAAGAAACTCCTAAAAGAAGAAAGGAAAAAGTACAAGAGACTGCTCATGAGACTCACATCACATTTCTTGCATGAAACTGTACATGCAAGAAGAGAATGCACTATATTTTCAAACCATAATGCACAAAAATAGAGGAAGGCTGGGAGTGGGGTTGGGGTTTTAGGGGATAGTGGGAGGGAAATGGAGGACATTGGTGGTGGGAAATGTACACTGATAGAGGTTGTTGATCATTGTATGACTGAAACCTAATCATGAACAACTTTGTAATGGTCTATCTCACAGATATTCAGTAAATTTTTTTAAAAGGTAACGTAGAATTCATGCAAATTTCATTTGGCTTAATCAGTGGCTGAATAAATTGCAGTATTCCTATGCTAAAATATCCACTATATATGCTCTACAATCTCATAAAAGCTCTTGATCCTTGACCTCATTTTAACCCTATTAGCTCCCTCCTGATTTGAAATCCACTTCTCTTTAGCTTAGATATCAATCCGCCATTTCTACCATGTTCTTACCAGTAGATTTCATTTCACCTCCATCCCCCATTATCTTTTAGAACTAAACCTGATGTTTCTTTTGCCAGGGCAGTACAGTAACCTTCAATGTTAACCTAGTCTAGTATGACATCTAATATCCCATTCAGAGAAAGAGAAACAAGGTAGGAAACCTTTCAGCTTCCATAATGATGATTTGAAAAAAAAATCTGTTTCCCTAAAATTCCCACATGTATTTATTTATGCTGCACTTGACTTACCAGAAAGCTGAATCTTGAAGACCCATCATCGTCATGAAGCCCTTCAACTTTTTTCTCTCTCTCGCAACATTCTGAGAAACATAGTAGGTGAATGGGGAAAAGCAAATAATGCATAAGAAAATGAAAATATCAGTCATGATTCCGTCTTGACTAATGAAGGAGTGTAGCTTCATGGTTTTCCCAGTGATAGACATCAGTTGCTCCATCACTGAGTGATTTGTTGTGATCTGTAGAAAGACAAAAATGAATGTGTTGGTAAAATTATCATTTTACAAACAAAGGTTTATCTGATCTGATGTTACTCTATTTACTTAAATCTTCTGGTAGATTTGGAGTTAATTTTTGACCAGTTCTCAATATATATGTTTTAGTATCTTGCTGCCTAACATGCCCCCCAAAATCTGCTTCATATGCCTTTATGCCCTTCTATGCTTAGCCACCCCTTATCTTAAGCTTCAGGTTTTGGTTTTGTTTTGGTCTTTAATCAACTTTTTATTGAGTTAACATAGATTTGCAATGCTTTAAATATTTATATGCTTTAGGGAAACAGTGGTACTATACCTACTATACCACACCTGCCACCAAAATTTCAATATCCCTCTTCCAAATTCTATTGGAAGATAGATTCCACCCTTTCAGTGCATTTCCTTGGTAATCTCAACTTCATGGACAACATCTATGGATTTTTTTAAATGTTAGTCATATTCTGGTCTCTTGTTAAGTTTAAGTTCTACTTATTTTTTTTAAAATTTACTTTGCTTTTAGGTCAACCCCTGATTGTGTACAGGGCTTACTCCTGGCTCTGTGCTCAGAGCTCACTCCTGGCATGGTTTGGGAGACCATAGAGGGTGCCAAGCATTGAACCCAGGTAGGCTGAATGCAGGGCAAATGTACTACCTGCTATACGATTGCTTTGGCCCCTCAGGTTTAAGTTTTACATGTCACTGGATATGGGAGGAAAACCTAATGAAACTCAAGGCTCTATGCTTTGCTGAGTTATCTTTCTGGACCTTAAGCATCATGCCATTTAGGAATTGTTCTGTAGCATTCTAGACTGAGAAAGTTTGTTTGTTTTCTTCCTGGGATTTTATGACTCTACAATAGCTCACTTTTTGTATTCTAATAATTTTCTTTTCATGTATCTGACACTCTGATAAGAATGAATCCTCAGAGGAGAACATTTATCTTCTGTTTTCTAGTTCCCCAGAGTAAAAAGCAACTTACATGAACTTTGTTGTAAAGAAACCAGTAAGTGAAAAATAAGGGTCTACAATTCAGATTTCTTCCATGAAACATATGCTGTCTTTAATGTTGTTGATTTGCATCGAACATGAGTTTGCACAGGTGATTTCATACTAACCTCTATTATAGCAGCATTAATTGCAGCTTGAAGAGATATAAAGCCTTTATTCCAGAATTCTGAAACTCCACAATCAACAGATTCAACAGTCTTATAACAATGAGCTTTAATAAAAGAAGAAAAACACAACTCTCATGGGTTATTCCAGTCTGATGACAGCAAACTTAATTTTATAATGTTCCAAAGTTCCAAATGTTCTTATTTTGACTGAAAGACTATGAAAACACTACTAAAGAAAAATTCTAATAATGGTTCTCAAAGCTTGATTGGCAAAAACTTCTGGGGAAAATCCTACATGAAATAATCTTGCATGGTGCAACTTTATTACACTGCCCTCTTCACCAATTAAAAATTTTGTTAAGCACTCCCCCCTTCTTATTTTGAAAACAACATATTTTTAAGTTTTCAAAGAATTATCAGCAAATTAGATGGATGAAGAAATAGTGGAAGCTTGGGTGAAATAACTTGTGTTTAAATTACATCTATCAGAAGACCCCTTTGTGTGTGTGGAGAAACATACTTAAAGTCTACTAGCATATTTATAGAATTTTATTTGTGTCTTTTAAATTAAGTTTTATTGCTTGTTTGGGAACCACACCTGGTGATGCTCAGAATCAAACCTAAACCTCCTGATCGCAAAATCTGTCTTTAGTTCATTAAACCATCTTTCTGGTTCCTTAAATTTTATTCTTTTTTCACAATAGTGATCTTATTGCTCAGAGTTTTTCCCACCCAAATAAATTATCAGCTGCTATTATCTATTTATTACTAGTCATAGCATTGTTTATAAACGATGCATTTTGGGTTGGAGAGATATTACAGAGGGTAGGGTGCTTGTCTTGCATGCAGGTGACTCGAGTTTGATCCATGGCACCCTAGGTGGCCCCCATCAAGCATCACTAGAAGTAATTTCTGAGTTCAGAACCAGGAGTAACCCCTGAGTTTCACCAGGTGTGACACCCCCTAATTTTTTTATGTATTTACCAAATTTTAAATTCCACTGGGAAAGATGCTTTGTTTGTTTTTCTGACTCTTATTTTGGATATCTTGTCTTCTCATATCTGTAAATTGATATTCAGAGATATTTTATCTTGTGACTTGTGTTGGGGTACCCATTCTTTTTTTCTGGACAGTAATAATCTCTGTTGATGGATACCTCATTGTCTGATCAAGCCTGGATCACTTTACATTTACAACTGGGGTTTTCCAGCCAAGGCAGAGGAGATGTTAGAGCCCCCAAACTCAAGAAATAAGGATGAGAACTACAAGTTCTCAAAGGGCAACATTCCTTTTGTTATCCAGAGGCCAGGACACAACAATCAAATTTTCTTTAATTCTTTGATGAGAAGGGAATATTTTCTTGTCTAATTTTTCCACTGAATATATAGCTTCTCCAGAGTACATTTTAACACAGAAATCTTATCTTATACAAGCCCAGAACCTTCTCCCCTGCTTTCACATAACTGTGAAAACCCAAACCCTAAGTAACTGAAATTGGAAAAATCATACAGCATTACTAATAATTTATTCTGATTTGGTGCTCTTTTCTTTTGAATCCTGGGGAACTTTTCTTATTTTATACTACGCTCACACAAACATTTAAAGGAAAGTTTGTTTTTATTTTATTCATAGATTTTATTTTCCTTTAAAAGTAGTATAGGGCAATTTACATGTGTATGCATATATGGTGCATGTATGTGTATATAAATATTTATATTGATAGCCAGACTTAATGACTATTTGACATAGTATGTACCCCAAGTAAACATATATGTTGAAATGTGTTCATTGACCTGTTGACAACATATTGTTATAGAACTTTTTTAATTTGCTGTATTACCATCTATTTCCATAGCTTTTGATAAAATTGAAATAGTAGAATTACCTGTATGGTCACTGTGTTCCTTCTTTGTGGGAATTCTGTAGCCTACTAAAAATTTCAGGTGATAATGAAATGTGTTAGTAAATATGACTCTTATTACTTCTTTCATATGAGCTTCTGAGAATTCTTCAATACTTTCTTCATTAGGATGTCCCAAGATTTTATTATCTGCCACCACAAGAAGAAAAAATACTTGTTAGCAAAGTATCAGGAAACCAAATTCAGAATGCCATATCCAATTGCTTTAACTAGAATTTCTTGTGTAAATAAAATGAAATTAAGAAGTAACTGAGTAAATCAGGTGGGTAAAGATTGAGGGAGACATTTCTAAAGTACCAGCTAGATACTATCAGAAGAAATATGTTGAATAATTTTATTGTCATACTATAATTATTGAAGAAATTTTAATAATAGATAGAATATCATGCAGATTAAATTATTTTACATAGACTTTGCATTATAATAAATTTACAATGGTAGTAAAAAGTGTATATTTGGTTAGTTTATTTTTGTTTATTAACCCTAGCAATGCTCAGGGGTTACCCTGGCTCTGCACTCAGGAATTACTTCTGGTGGAGCTTACCCAGATCAAACCCAGGTCTATACTGCCAGGGATAGAACCCAGGTCAGCTGCATGCAAGGCAAATGGCCTACCCACTGTACTATTGCTCTGGTCCCCAAAGTGGATATATTTAAATCAAAATTAGATGCTGATTATATCAGGTAGAAATAAGTGTATCACTTCACTTTCATTAACCATCTTGAGGCTGGTTGATATGTAAAATCAGAATGAAAGATTTAAAAATTAACAATGTTGACATCACTAAAATCATCCCTCTTTTCTTCAGATAGTATGCTTAATGACACATAGATGCTCTGTTATGACTGAAAGGATGAAAATGAATACAAGAAATAGGGTGGTAGTGGAATAGGAAGACAGCACGCATTTTGATAACATTATATTTTGTGTTCTAGAAACTAACCAGTAAGTCTGAGTGTTCATAAGTGAATTACTTCACTCTTAGTGTCCATTCCCATATGTGTAAAATAAACTTAATATCTACCATGAAGAGTAGAATTATTAATAGAGTGCAGAAAAATGAGGTGAACATTTAAATTGCAGACTATTACTCTACTGAGCAATAGCACAGCAGTAGGGCGTTTGCCTTGCACGCAGTCAACATGGCCGACCCGAGTTCAATTTCTCCACCCCTCTTGGAGAGCCCGGCAAGCTGCCGAGAGTATCTCACCCGCATGGCAGAGCCTGGCAAGCTCCCCGTGACGTATTCGATATGCCAAGCACAGTAACAACAAAGTCTCCAATGGAGACGTTACTGGGCCCGCTCAAGCAAATCGATGATCAACGGGAGGGCCTTTACCTTACCTTACCTAACTCTACTTACAATAAAATATATTAAATGTAATGTGATAACATTAATGATTATGATCATTGCAACTGTCTTGCTTATAAAAAATAATTTGCTTCTGGCAATGATGAACACAATTCAAAATCTTTTCACACAGGAGCCATTTAATGAACACTAAGGTCACAATTGCATGTGGTTTAAAAATCAGGAAATTTTGATGCACATATTTGTGGCATTGTCATGTGCAGGAGGACATCTGTGAAACAGAGACATAGCAACATGTTGCAGGATAGAGTGGGAGACTGGACTCCAGGTGCACAGCTGAGACCAGTTTATGATCTTAAATAAGATGGATTCAGTGTTCGCAGGCCAAATGCATGGTGCAGAGTTACTGTTCAGATAAGGGAGGATGTGATGATGCGAGGATTGGTGAGATACTATGGGACAGCAAGATTGGAATGGTTTAGTTTATTTCCGTGGTCCTGGGAGTATACAAATTAAAATGAACAGGAAGGAAGAGTCTAACCTATTCTGGGACTGTGATGACAAAGATTCCAAATAGCCCAGTGCCAAGTGCAGGCAACAAGAAAGGGTGGGCATTTAGGCACTGAATTAATGTACGGGATCAGAATTCTAGCACAATTAATGATTTTCTGGGCTGGAGTGAAATTATGCACAAAAGACAGTGAAGAGAAAAAGCATGGCATAGGCTTTTAGTGACTAGATGAGTGAAAGCCTTAGTTTCCCTTTAAGGTGGGGAATTATGGTACTGAATATTAATATCCAGTATTTTCTAAATCCCTTATATTTTTCTATACTAAGATAATGCCACAAAATCCAGGTTACTTATAATATATTAATTTTATTGCACAGCTTAAAAATTATATTGGATTATACAATCTCTTATTGATGGACATTCAATTTACTGAGAGATAATTGACATGTACACACAGTATATGTTTAAGGTATATAGTGTAATGATTTGACTTACGTGTATCATAAAAGCTTAGTTCATATGATTATGTCCTAAAGATACAAGGAAAAGAAAGAAAAAACCTTTTGTCCTTTTCTTTTTTATTAGTGAAACACCATGAGGTACAGTTGTAGATTTACAAATTTTTGTGCTTGGATCTCGGTCATACCACGATCAAATACCCATCCCTCTACCAGTGCCCATTTTCCACCACCAGGATAATATCCCCCCCCATCCCCCCATCCCCCCATCCCTCCCTGCCACTGTGGCAGGGCATTCCCTTTTGTTCTCTCTCTCCTTTTGGGTGTTGTGATCAGCAAAAGAGGCATTGAGTGGCTAACATGTTCGGTCCAGTCTACTTTCAACCTGCATCTCCCCTCCTGGGAGGATCCTCCAAACACCCTCCACTTGGTGTTCCCCTTTCTATCTGAATTGTCCTTTCCCCTAGAATACCCGGCTGGCCTCTAAGTTATGGAGTAATTCTCCTGGTGTTGCTCTCAGCTATTCTTGGTCTGAGAACTTTTAAAATTAGAATCTCTTAACAGTTTTCAAATTCATCATCTACCTGTATTAGCTTAGTCATAAGGCTGTACATTACCTTCCTAGTATGTATGTATTTTATTACTTGAAGTTTATAATTTTCACTACTTTCTTCTTATTGTATTTTGACAACTTTCTTGCAATCCCACCCACCTCCCTCACCCATCCTTATAAAATGTGGAATTTCATGGCATTTCAGTATCTTCACAAAGTTGCACAAATTCCAAAACACTCTTAAATTATAGCTCAACCTACGTTCATGAGGTTCTTTTCACAGATTCCCCCTTTGACACATTTATTCATACTTGTCAAAAGCAATTGCTATGAACTGTTTTATAATTCATTTAGGATTCTGCCTCTTTTCTGCTCACATCATGGGACCTAGTTCTCATGATGACAGGGAACCATAGCCAGTGGGCAAGGACAATGCTCCACCCTCTCTCCACTCAGATTACTTGTTAATGAAAAAAAAAAAGTCAAAGCAGTCTTTTTGCTCCATTGGGTGAAATTTCTGAATTTTTTTATTTGCTTGGGGGAGCATTGGGCCACACCCGTGATGCTTAGGGGTTACTCCCAGCTCTGCAATCAGAAATTACTCCTGGCAGCCTTGGAGGACCCTGTGGGACACCAGGGATTAAACATGGGTTGGCTGCCTGCAAGGCAAGCACCCTACTTGCTGTGCTATCACTCTAACCCACCTGGATCATTTCCTGCTATTTTGAAGCCTATACTTCTTTCCCTGAAGTTGTTTCTGAAACTCGTTCAAATCTACAGATAATGATATGGGGGAGATTCGTGAGGGGAAAGCCAGCCTGTGAATGATGTGAGTTCACAATACTACAAATCTGATAAGTGAAGGCTTATTCTTTTCTTTATTGTTGATATCTCTAGCTAGACATGTATTCTGGATGATATTTTTCTTCAACTAGACAAGGACAAGTTGAACTGGCATTCTCTCACTCTTGACTGAAACAGTAATGAAAAATACAGTTCTTGCTAATCTTATTTTAATAGAGTCCTAATGAGACTCAGAGTTGATTGCAACAGTCCAGAACGACTTTCAGCCACATAATCTCTGATGCCATGTCCTATTCTCTTGCCTCTCTCTAGTGTGCTTTCCCTCTAAATTTAGAAAATAGTTACAGCAGTGATCTTGATTGCAGCAACAATTTTCTTATTTTCATAAGTACTTATCAGTACCTTAACATTGAAGGGTGAAAATTTGAATCCTAGAATACTTGTTGATGGAAACTTCAGATATTGTAAGACTTCTGAGTAATAGAGGGTGAAGATTAAAATGCTCTAGTAAAATTCAGAGAAGAATTTTTCTGTAATAATCACACCATATTAAAGCTTGTCTATTTCTAGTAATAATGTTTTCACTGTACATGTCAACAACCCTGAATGTATCTTTCTGCTTTCACAGACAGATTCTGACATTATATCTTGTACTTTCTCAAGCTCATGAAAGACCAGCAGATTTCTTTGTTGAGGAATTGCAAAGAGACAATACTTTGCTTGGTGAGAAACACTCAAACATCAAAAATACATCAGTTTTGACACAGCTGAAATGATGGCTTTTTAGTTACAACAAAGAAAAAGTATATTTACATCTCATCTCACATAATCTAGAAATAGGGGCAACGGGTGTAGTTTATCAAGTGAAATGTCATTCAAATGCATTTCCTGCACTCAAAAAACAAACAACAATTGACATCAGAATTTCCTTTTAGGATGCTAGAAGACTCACCTTTCATGAATGAAGCTGAAGCTACTTTGTCCATTATCTGTTGTGTTGTATTGGTGACAGGTGTATATGCAATAGTAAGTGTAGAGTCTCTAAATGAGTCTACCCGTCCCAGGTCCAAGACAGGCAGTGAAGAAAAATCCTCAATAAAATGGCTCATGCTGTGTATGTATATACAAAATAGAAGAAGTAATGCGTTCAACCATTCCTACACAGTCCAAGAGAAGGAATGACCATAAGTATTATTTCAAATTAGTTACCCACAATCATTTGTCTATACAGTTTGTCTCCTTTATTTTTCTAAATTTCAATTTAAATAAATAGTAAGAACTGTCTCAAATATGAAAAGAACAAAATGCAGCTATGAGTCATTCCAATGAGATATTCAAATGTATTGACTTATGATACCAGCCTGAAACAGTGGTTTTCACCATTTTTTATAATAATTATGTTTACTATATCAATAGTCGCACATCAGTATTGACTTATGTAATGCTACATGATTGAGGAATATCACAAAAAAAACCCCAACTTTTTTACTGACCAGCAGGAGATTTCTGCAGTCTAATGCCAAACGACAGATGGGAAGTTAAAAACCACTGGTTTGGGGCTGGGTACAGTAGGTGGAGTTCTTGCCTTGCATATGGCTGACCTAGCTTCAATTCCTGGCATCTCATATGGTCCCCTGAGCACCATCAGGAGTAAGTTTTGAGAGCAGAGAAGACAGGAGTTAGCCCTGGTTGTGTCCTAATAAACACACAGGGAGGAAGGAAGGAAGGAAGGAAGGAAGGAAGGAAGGAAGGAAGGAAGGAAGGGAGGGAGGGAGGGAGGGAGGGAGGGAGGGAGGGAGGGAGGAGGGAAGGAGGGGGGGAGGGAGGGAGGGGGGGAGGGAGGGAAGGAGGGAACGAGATGGGAGGACGGAAGGAGGGAACGAGATGGGAGGACGGAAGGAAGGAAGGAAGGAAGGAAGGAAGGAAGGAAGGAAGGAAGGAAGGAAGGAAGGAAGGATTGAAGAACAACTCCAAGCTTGCATTCATCATAAAACCCTGAGAAGCAGCAGTGACAAGCTGTAGATTATCTACTGGTATTCCAATGTGGATACACACATGTTGCCCTTTGATTCTGCTGAAAGTTTAAGTGTGACAAGAGAAAGTTTCAAGGTATTGCTCACTCTGTACATACATATTGGTTACATTCCAAGATTCCAATATTGGAAACTCAACAGAATGCAGGGTGTTTGAAAAATGCTCTTAGTTATCAATATTGACTGCTTGCAAACTTCCAAAAGGAAATTGTTATATTTCCTCAGTGTATGAGCATAGGAGAGAAAATCAGTATAAACACCCAATAAAAATTCTAATTCTGTTAAAATGTTATATATCTATATCTGGTTCCTTTTCTTCATTTTTTTTTCTTTTTGGGTCACACCTTACAATGCACAGGGGTTAATTACTCCTGGCTCTGCACTCAGGAATTACTCCTGGCAGTGCTCACGGGACCATATGGGATGCTGGGAATTGAGCCCAGGTCAGCCAGGTGCAAGTCAAACACCCTACCTGCTGTGCCATTGCTCCAGCCCCACTGTATCTATTTTAAGTAGATATCATAGCTTAACCAGAATTTGATAAAAAGCAAAGCTTTGTTTGTTTGTTTTGGGGCCACACCCAATTGGTGCTTTGGGTCTTTTCCTTGTTCTGTGTTCTGGGATCACTCCTGGCTGTAGTTAGAAGACCATATAGGGAACGGAAATTGAACTGGAGTTAGCCACTTGCAAGGCAAGTGCCCTACTTGCTGTGCTAATGCTCTGACCCCCCCACAAGGTACCATGGCTTACCCAGGATTTTTGTTATATGCTACCATTATAAGAGCAAATGATAACTTTCTTCATAGCACTGATATTTTCGAGATTTTTTTTGTTTGCTTTTAGTTTTCACTATTTTTGAGGGTATATTAAAAATTTTAGGCTGGAATGATAGCACAGAGAGTAGGGCAGTTGTCTTGCATGCGGCCAACCCAGGTTCAATTCCTATGTCCCTCTCAGAAAGCCCAGCAAGCTACTGAGAGTATCCTCCCTGCTCGGCAGAGCCTGGCAAGCTCCCCGTGGAGTATTCAATATGCCAAAAACAGTAACAACAAGTCTCACAATGGAGATATTACTAGTGCCAACTCAAGGAAATCAATGAATGACGGGAGGACAGAGCTACAGTGCTATATTAGTATTTTTATTTTATTTTGTTCTGTTGGGCCATACCCAGTGCTTACTCCTGACCCTGCCCTCAGGAATTCTTTCTGGCAGAGCTCGGGGCCCCATATGGGGTGCCAAGATCTAACTCGGGTAAGTTGTGTGCAAGGCTAGCACATGACCTTCACTATCTCTCTGGTCTGATAATTGCTCATTTTTAAAAAATCACATTTGTTTTATTTATTCATTTTTATGAGTTTGGGAGCACATCTGTCTCTTGCACTCAGGAATCACTTCTAGCAGTGCCCAGGGGTCTATGTGTGGTGCCAGGGATAAGACCTGGCTGAACAACGTGTAAAGCAAGTGTATTACTGCCCTGGACCCCACCACCACCCTAAAAATGTCATATTAAAAAGAGAAAATATCTATTACTTGTTTCTGTAGGTCCTATACCTTATCTTCAGAAAATTGGTATCTCAATCAGAGTATCTATGAGTGAGAATATTGATTAAAAAGTGTCACTATTAAGACATGTATAAGATCAGTTTTAGTGCTTTCAGACGTTAAAAGAGATGCATTTAGATGTATTTTTAGTATGAGGAATAAATTCATTCATTGTGTAAAGGTGTGGCATCTCAATTTTTGGGGGGAGACATAAACATTATAAGTCTAGGTTCCGACCAAGAAAAATACACTTTCCTCCAAAAAACAGAGTGACACTGATGCTAAATCATACCATCAAATGTTCTCTTTTCATCCTCCAGATTTTAAGAAGATTCTTGCATAATAAAGCCCAAGTTTGTCGACACATACTTATCTCTTTTTTGTTCATTTTCTCCTGATGAATTAGAAAGAAAACAAGACAAGTAAACATATAGGTCTTAATGGGAAGGAAAATTTCTGCAAACAACAAAAGTAATGTGGTAAATGTTCTGCTCCAAAAAATGTGCTTAGAATCTGCATCCCAATGTTGGTTTTTATTTTTCCTTGACTTCTCCTTTTTTGCCCCACTTTCAACCTCCATCTTTTTGTTTGCTATAATTCTGCACTCTGAATATTCTTTTTCCGCACACTAAGTCAATTTATTCTTTTGTTTTTGTTTGTTTGGGTCACGCCCAGCAAAGCACAGGGGTTACTCCTGGCTCTGCATTCAGGAATTACTCCTGGTGGTCCTTGGGGATCGTTTGAGATGCTGGGAATTGAACCTGGGTCAGCTACGTGCAAGGTAAATGCCCTAACCGCTGTGCTATCATTCTATTTCCACTAAGTCTATTTAGCACAGCAGTAGAGCATTTGCCTTACAAGCGGCCAACATGGCCGACCCGAGTTCGATTCCTCCGCCCCTCTCGGACAGCCTGACAAGCTACTGAGAGTATCTTACCCACATGGCAAAGCCTGGCAAGCTACCCATGACGTATTCGATATGCCAAACACAGTAACAACAAATCTCATGATGGAGACGTTACTAGGACTGCTCGAGCAAATCGATGAACAACAGGAAGACCGTGACCGTGATATATATAGTTTCAGCTTTATACTCCGGAGCCTTTATACATCATACAAAATAAACGTGGGCCCTTGACATCTTTCTCTTTGCCATATGGCGTGATGCAGAAACTTTGTCAGCTGAGAGAACTGGAGGAAGACAACAGGAAGAAGAGGGTTTCTGTCCTGTTATCGGAGTAGTTCATTCCCAGGGTTCCTAGAGAATGTCTTTTTTCTCCACTACTCAGTGTCCTGCACTGCAAGGTATCTAAACGGTGATGGTTTTCAATGTGCTTTCTCTAACTCTGAATTCTGAAGCTATAGTGTCTCTGAGAGCCTCTAACTGTTACTATCACTCCCCCAGAGTTTGATTGCTTTGTAAGGGTGGAACTGACGTCATGACAGGTGGCAGAAATGAGAAAAATCAGGTAGGCCTCAGGTTCAGTTCCTGGAACTAAAAACATTTTCAGTTTCCCAGCAATGAAACAATGTGTAACTAGCCAATCTGAACTCATCTGGCAAGTTCTTGGGCCCAGCAAGTGGGTTCAGTCAATCAAAATGCCCTAGAAATTGTCTTTTGTTAACCGTAAAGGATGAGTAGTTTAACTGTTACTGGAAACTATTTTTTAATTGTTGTGTGACCACTGTTACCATAGTGCTTTTTTTTTTTAGCGTTTTTTTGGGGGCCACACCCGGGCAATGCTCAGTGGTTACTCTGGCTCTGCACTCAGGAATTCCTCCTGGCGGTGCTCAGGGGACCATCTAGGATGCTAGGAATTGAACCCGGGTCAGCCACGTGCAGGGCAAATGCCCTACCTGTTGTACTATCGCTCCAGCCCCACCATAGTGCTTTCTTAACTTTGAAATCTATATAAACTGCCTGCTACTTGGAGTCGGGTCGCTATCAAGAGACCACTCTATGAGTGAGATAGCTGACCCCAGTTAACTGGAATAAAACTCCTTTTGCTTTTGCATTGTTTTGTGTGAGCTTCTGTCCAGGTACAACAACTTCAACCCTCCTACACAAAGATAGTGTGTTCTAGTCCTTATGTCCCGTGCCCAACATTCAGGCTTTCCTTGGTTTCAGTGGAAGTGAAATCCAGACTAAATCCAGACTCGTCCCTTTTTGACATCCTACATCCCCAATCCAAGTTTGTCCCTCTGTCAGTCTTAGGATGTCTTAGGAAATCTGAGAATGTCTTAGCTTTAGGATGTCTGAGGATTTCTCAGTTCATCTTTATAGTTATCCTCTTACATCTACTTGAACATTCTCCTAACTGAATTCAACAATTCATTATTGTTTTTACTTTCCTTCTTGCATCCAAACCAATGCACTCATGCACTTACCTTAGCTTCAATAAATATCTCCTTGGATACCTAAAATATCTCTATAATATTTAGTTAAAATCATGAGTGAAAGATACATTTTAGTGGTTCATCTAGACCAATTTAATGAGATCTTTTTTACTTCAAGCAGAAGTCATTACACTTTGTGCTAAATCATGTTCTGAGAAGACAAATGCATGTTCTTTCAGCAGTAGAAAAACACCTCATTTTTGGAAGAAGGAGTTTGGGCCACACCTGGTAGTACTCAGGGGCTGTTCCTGTTCTGCACTCATGGGTCACTTGCTACGGTGTTAGGGGACATATTCAGTGTGCTGAATGAAGGCTGGCTGTAGGTAAGACAACCCCCGGTATGATGCGTCCAGTCCTAAAAACTCTTACTGGGCTATCACAACCCCTACCCCCACCCCAAGATCTCCAATAGACACACAGAGAGCTCAGAAAACAGGTTGCTAAGTAAGCCCACACCAAAGGAAGAACACTGAAATCAGACCACACAGTGGGGTATGAGACTGAAAATCAAAACTGGATATCTTCAAAGTCTACTACTATGAGGGAACAAAACAATGCACCCTTGCTCTAAAGAAAATGAAAAAAATAATCTTTCCATTGATGCAAGTGAGGCAGAAGTGGCAGCAGTGGGTCTCTATGTTTGTTCGTGATTCCCAGGATATTTAATATTTTCATTCTTTTCTTCAATATCTATATTGAATAATAAAGATAATCATACTTAGAGTTGGGAAGTAGAAAAGTTTATTGGAAAGTTGAAGAGAAATAAAAAGGAACTCACCAAGTGGGGAAGAACAGCATAGGACTAAGTTAACTGATGGATAACATTGGTTTGCACTCCCATTCCTCTGTGTTAATCTTTAACTTCTCCTCTGTGCTCTGCTTCCCCTGTCTGTTAATCACTATATCCCCAAATCAGACCATGTAACTTGTAAAGTCAGATTCTTTTAAGGACTCTAGATTTTGTATATGCAGGTGAAACATTGCTTTCTCTTTCCTTTATGTCCTTTGTATAGTTTACTTTAGAGCAATGTCCTTTTTGTATAGACACAGGGAGATAGTTAATGCTATGCTTTTGTAACTTGGGAGTTAATTGACTCTGAATAATATTTACTCTTGGGCATCTGTCATATTTACTCAACTTAAGCCTCTGTTTCCCTTAGTTCCTAACACCCAAAAGGAGGGTTTCTACGAGGGACTTTGATGGACCCAGGACAAGCTGTAAGCTACCCTGGCATCGAAAAGGGACAGGCAAAATGCCATAAAGGCGTGGTTATGGACAAAGTCTGTCATGACCCAAAAAGAAGTAACTGGATAAAGACCCTGCTGGAGTTAGGAGGGACATATCTGACCTGAGAACTGTAGCCTGGGATATATAGTGAAGTGTCCCCAGGAGAGCCACCCTTTAAGCTTAATGTGTCTCTTACTGTGTCCATATAAAATGATTAAAAATATTAGTAAGAAGTAATTTAAGATCACTATTTAAATAAATTTGGACTAAAGAAAGGAGAAATACACCCCTAAGATGGAATTCTGCCCTTGGGCAGATCTTGCAGGATCAGATTTTGTCCTAGAAGAAATTTCCCCTGAGGGAAGGACTTTACATCTGTTGATTATATAACCACACCTATGTATAATTGCTACCCCCAACCCTTGATGATTTCTCGATAACTAACACCATGAGACTCGTATGAGGGAGAGAGTGTGAGACTGAAATGGGGAGAAGAGTGAGACTAAAATCGGATGGAAATTAGACTGATTACCAACCAACCTGGCACCAGTTTTCTCCTTTGTTCACTTGGTCACTGTTGGTTGTCTCAGGTAGGGACACTCCAGGACACTAAACACATGTGGTGAGCGCCCCCACACTTTTTGAATTCACAGTTAACGGTAGTTCTTCTAGTGAGATTTTTATAGGAAAACTGGGTCATTGTATTAGAGAAATGCAGGGAATTTGCATTTTGCATTTGGGCTGGATTGAGTCTTCTTTGTCCATCTGCCCCAGCTATTGTCCATTATCTTAGTCTTCCTGTGAGCTGAAGCTCATGATCATGATCACGATAATCCTGTTGTTCATCCATTTCCTCAAGCAGGCACCAGTAACATTTCCTTCGTCCTAGCCCTTGAGATTTTAGAAAGTGCCAAATTCAAGGCTCTTTCAGGGTCAGGAGAATGAGACCCATCATTGTTACTGGTTTTTGGCATATTGAGTACGCCACGGGGAGTTTGCCAGACTGCTGAGGACAGGTTGTTTTCGTAGCCTGCTGGGTTTTCCAGAACCAGCAGAGGAACACAGGCGGATCCCAGGGCTGAGATCTCCAAGCAGCTGGCAAGGGTAAATGGAAGCTTCCTCTTCCACCATGAAAACGTCCAATTCTTCCAGTTACCTCAACTTACATATGCCTGCTTGAGACAATAGCTATCCAGGTTCCAGTTTGCTGAGCAAAGGTACATCTGCAGACCCTCTTAGGAGTGTGTCTGGGAAGCTTCTTATAGGTGTTTTCAAAACATTACAGTTTACTGATCCTGATTTTAAAAAAAATAGCACACAAGGCTCAACCTATAACAACATGTTAGTAATCTCTTATACAAGAGTTTAATAATAAAGTTTAATAATAAAGTTTAATAATAAAGATCTGGATGATTTAAAGCACACAATTTAAAAGATTGACTATACAGGTATAGAAGAACCAAAAAGGCAAGGATATTGAATTAAACCAGTGTTTCTCAACCTTTTTCCAAGCAAGGTCCCCATAAGACCTTGTCTCCTTCCTAAGTTTCCCTTGCCCTACTTTGGGCCCCCTTGGATGGTCTCTAGGATGAGATACAACAATCTTCACATACTTTCCTCTAAGGAAAAATTTCTGGATCATTTTTAGTGCATTATTCATTTCAAGGCCGACCAGGCCGACCCGAGTTTGATTCCTCTGCCCCTCTTGGAGAGCCCAGCAAGCTACCGAGAGTATCTTGCCTGCATGGCAAAGCCTGGCAAGCTCCCCA